AATGAAGCATGTCAATTGGCATAATCTGTAGCGTATTAAATATAATTAGCCATGCTAAAATATCCAACTCCAGCTAAAATACCAAACCCCTGATATTGAATCCACGTTAAGCTATAGTATATAAAATAATTAGACATTCCAAGGTTCCAAGTCTTCAAGGAACTTCCTTTAATTAGTATACTGATTGCTAAAGCTTCTTTTCTACATTATGGCACACTAGTGTTCAAGGGTGCAAATAGGGGTGACTAAAACAGAGGACAAGGCATATTTTGATATACATTCAATCATTGATTTGATTTTTTTTTAAATATATTGAATAAAAAAATATTTTATAGCTAAAAAAATGGAAAAATGTTAAATTTTTAGTGTAATTTTTTCTAGGAAGGATGATTTGTTAATTGTAAACATAAATGTATTTATTATACATTTTAATAGAAAATTTTTTAAATGAATTTAGAAAAGATTGATAAAAAATATGCAGGTGTTGACTCTCTCGCCCTCTTAACTTGCACATATGTTAATGTTTGAGTCCTCACGGTTTTTTTTTTTTTTGTCCTTTTCTTGTGCAACAAATTTGGTGATGCAAGGTCTATCTTGAGTAATTTTGACGTTATGGGCATCAACGCAATTTATTTTGAGAAATTAGCTACATTTGAGTGGTTTTTATATAGTCAAGACATCTTGAACCCACCTTGTGTTATCATTTGTGGTCCGATGTTTTTATCGACTTGATCAAATTGATAAGGGATAGTTATGGGTCAACATTAAATTGGCTAATTTTGTTGGTCAAAATATAAAGGAAATTTTTGGAATGAGGATTCACACCCATTCGTTGACACATTTTTCAAATCAAGTCATCTCGATTTTGCAAAATTTAAAATTTCAATTCAATTTGAACCCGAAATGATTCAACTTAATTAAATTTGACAAACTAATACAAATTATACCCAATTTACTTGACTTGCTTGTTCGATTTCGCGCTAATTCCATCAAAATAGATTAAATTGCACCAAATTAACTCAATCGGTTTTAAACGAGTCAAATTAAGTTGGATTGAGCCAAATTAATTAAAATTGTGAAAAATTGAGTTCAATTGAGCATAATTGAGTCAAATCGACTTCACTTGGGACAAATGGACTCAATTTGAGTCAAATTAACTTTAATTCAAAAAATACATTGCAACTTTAATTTATAAAAAAGACTAATCATATGGATTAAATGTTATAATACAATTCTTAAATATGTTTTTTAAAAAAAGATATTCAGATTGCGGACAAACTTTCATGATAAAATGCAAGAAATCTCCATACAACAACAAATAATTTATGCAAAATGAAAGCACGAGCTTCCAATTTTTATTAGTTTACGAAAACTTTGTTGATTGTTGCCAACCATAGCGCCAGTGAATGAATGCAAATGGATGCATCAAATATATAATTAGTTAAGCTCAACTAAAGCTCTACAACAATAAATTTGATAAGAAAATTAATAAACAAACTTACAAGATTTTAAAGCTCAAGTCATATTTAAGATCGACTCAAGCTTGATAAAATAGAAATGCATGACCTTCAACTGATTTGTTTGCAACCTTTTAGGGCTTGTTTGGTTGAGTTTTTTATGTTTAAAAATTGGTTTAAAAGCTATTTTCCAAAAAAATAGAGCTTTAAAGCTGCTCAACTTCGCATTATAAACTAGATAGTAACAAAAATGCACCATGACTTACTACATGCACACCCTCACAGTTAGGCATCATAATTTAAGTAGATAAGCCATAAGTTCTCTTTCTTAAAATCAAAACAACCTAGCCAAGTGATGAGGACATCGATAGACGTTATCGACAAGTTTATCGACGTAGGAATTGTATATCGACGACTACGGTTCACTCTTTATTTTTAATGCATTTATGTATTATGTCATAGTTATCTGCTAGTTCCAATTTTACCCTTTCCTTTGAGTTTATTGGAGTTGTAGCCCAAGGGGCATTTGAGTCATTTTCTTTATTTTATTTTAGGCCTATATATGGAGGCCTCATCCATTGTAAGATGATGATGAATTGATAATGAAAATTTTATGTGTTGTCTTCTTTTTCTTGTGTGAGCACTAGAGAGAAGGGAGAGAGAACCCAAGTGAGGGCAAGCGCAATACCCACCGATCGTTGGAAGAGTCTGTGGCTCGTGGTTGATGTCGGCAAGGGGGGGGGAGTCAAATCAAATCCTAAATTTTGGTTTTGACTACTCTTGGGCTTGCTAGCTCATTAATACTTTGAGTTGAAATTTAGCTCATTATGAGCTGTTTTTTAGTTCATTTATTGAAGTAAAAAGTTTAGCTCATTTATGTAAGTTTAGTGGAAGCTCATTATGGTGGATCTTGGCCCTTTGGTTCCCGTGGCTGGCTGCATGGCTCCCGTGGATGGCTGCTTGGCTCCCGTGGCTTGGCCCTTTGGTTCCCGTGGCTGGCTGCTTGGTTCCCGTGGATGGCTGCTTGGTTCATGTGGCTTTGCCCTTTGGTTCCGCGGCTGGCTGCTTAGTTCCTGCGGCTGGCTGCTTGGTTCCTGCGGCTGGCTGCTTGGTTCCCGTGGCTTTTCTGCTTGGTTCCCGTGTCTTTTCTTCTCTGTTTTGCTGTACCGTTTGGGGGCTGATGTGTTATGACTGTTGGCCTTTCATTTCCCTAAATCTAATAGGTTTTAATTAATGTTTTAGGTGGCTGTTTGGCTTCCCTTTTCTTCTATAAATAGGAGATGTTTTGTAGGAATAAAAAGGATGCTTATGATGATAATTTTTGGATTAAAACCTGAGAGGTTTTTTGGAAAAGCTTGAGAGCTTTCTCCACTTCTTCTTCTTCTCTATCTTGGGATAACTTGTGAGTTACTCCTATCCTTTGTCTTGGCTTCTTATCCACTTCTTCTCTCCATGGTTACCACTCCATTGTATCCTTCTTCTCAACGATTGGCAAGCTCCTTTAGGTTTGTTGTGTCCAAGTTTGTAAGGTGTTTGTGTCCAAATTTATAAGGTGTTTGTGTTAAAGAGTTGTAAGTGTCTTTATATGATATAAAATGTGTCTTTTAGTATTTTGTATCTTTTTGTAGTATTTTGTGTATCTTCTATTATCTAGGAAGAGTTTCTTTTGTTAGCAAAAATTTGGGCCCCTCTCCCAAATTTTTGTTTGCATCAGTGGTTTAATTTATTTTTCTTTTCTTTGCTTCTCTTCCCCACCCCGCCCGTCGGCTCCTCCTAGCCCTTCCACCACCAGCAATCTTCCCCACCCAGATCACCCCACAACTCCACCGCAAACCCACCCGCCAATCTAGCCCCATCCAACCCGACACCTAGCCGCCCCCTTCATTATGGTGAATCCAATCGTCATAATGACTTCCTAATTTAGCTCAAACAAAAGAGGGCAAGATTTGAATTCATTTGAAATTCAAATTCGAATTTCAAATTCTTTCCATATAGGAAATTCCAAATAAGGAAAGTATTTATTTACGAGTCCAATTTAAATTCAAAATAGATTGGATTTATTATTGGCTTTCTAAATTTACAAACCCTGTTTAGAAACTCCTTAAAATCGACATTCTTCGTTCCCCTTTCTACGAGCCCCTTTCTACGAGCCGAACTGGGAGTACGACAACTCGGTGGAAAGCTATGTCAACCGCATCATCTCCTGCCTTGCGGAGACGATCAAGATTCAACAACCCAGGACGCCTTGGTTTGTCACCGGACGAGCCACTCTTCCTCCACCGCAGGTTACCTCTCCATCAAAGAAGGTCTTCGGCGCCATCTTCCTAGTGGTAATCTCCTTCCTTGTATGGTTCGTCTTTCTCCACTAAATCCCAAGAGTGATTGAGTGAAAAGGTACTCAAAGTGAACCTCTCGTATTAAGTGGTGGATTTTGTTATGTGCATGTAATATTTACTATTGTCTTTGGATTTGATTGGATTGTTTGGTTAATCTCAAGAGCGCTTCTTTGCCTAAGTAAGTTGAATACGTTGAATTCCTAACTCTTCTTTATTTGCAAACAATAATTTTATAACTGCAAGTTTTAATCAATTGTTCCTTTTAATTTCTCACAGTAACTCCTAGTGGTTTCACATCACCAAGCTTGCATATGCATTGAAACAAAGATTACATGATTTTAAAAGCAATTAAGTGAATTTAGCAGACCATTCTTTTCGAGCAATATTATAGGACAAAAGGTCGGGCTAACATAACCTCATATGAGGTTTTAAGTTCATAAGTCATACACATTCTGATAAATTTAGGTTCAAGTTACTACATATCAATAGTTTTCACCTTTAGATATAGGGTCCATGGTTGATATTATTTTTAGTTACATCATAAGTGCTCACCTTCTAAGACATTTCATTAATCTTATGTTGTTCAAATATGAACTCCATCTTTCTAAATCAAATCAGCCAATTTAATATAAATTTGATGTTAAAATGTAAAATCCATCGTTTGATAGTATTGAGTACATCTGAGTTTCTCAGAATCAAGAACTCCTACATTTTCTCATTTTTAATTTCTACTCATCAATTTTAAGTTGATTCAATCATCTATAAAATTATAAAGACAATATTTGAAATAATTTATTTAAAAATAATATAAAATATTATCCAATGTTTGGATAAATAAATATAAATCACTATTTTAATAAAAAAATTTCAATGGTCAAATATCTTTAGTAATTAACCACAGAGGATTGCCTTTCGAGGAACTTGCACCCATAATTAAAAAAACTCTATTCAATCAAATATACTGTATAAAGAAAAATCTCTTAGGGTGTAAAAATAAAATAAAATGTAAGTTTTGTTATTGAGTACATAGTAAAATATTAATTTTTTCCTTCAAGATAATATATTATTTTTGATGTCGTGCTCGATTACAAAATATTTAAAATCCATTAAAGATAGAAAAATTCCTCATCAATTTTATTAAAACCCAAATACTTCAATTGTATGACAAGTGATCTGATATGAAGACAAGTTTCCAATAGGATATTACCATGGGCTTTTATTGATGGAATAATACATCCATTTTAACTTGTCAAAGTCCGAAGCAACGGCCTGCTCCTTCAACCAATCTCTAAGCATCAAATTACCATGCCAAACCTGAAACAAAGAAAGTAATCACATAAAATATAATATTTTCAGCATGTCAAATGTAAGAACTTAGAGGCAAAGAAAGTTTGCATGCAGGGATGTTAAAAGGAAATAGCAGATGGAGGAATGCTGGAAGGAATAAAGTGGAGAACAATTTAAGTGGCATCAATGTAATAACAATTTAGGGGAAAATGGAAAATCAAATACAAGATCTTACATAATTAGCATAAAACGCCAAAAAATGGCCCAATCTTGAAAAATAATGAAAAGATTAAAAGACTAGTCGTCATCGTCATTATTTGACAAAACCTAATCAGGTCAGCTTTACATTTCTTGTTTATTCCATTCCACTGAGTGTAACATAAAATGATAACACTTGTAGTATTTCTATCTGCCACCTAATTTTGCATTGTCTATTCACAAGTATGTAAACCAAAACTGCAAGTCAACTTTTGACCCTCTAATCTTGCACAGGTGCTTCTCTAACCATTTCTCTAATTTATCACTGTTCTCCTTCAAAGTGTATTAGTCTAATCACATATAATCATAACATTCTCATCTCTGCCCTCACTCGTTTTAGCTAGCAATGACTTTTTTATTGTCCAATTAGATCCATACAATATAATGATACGGAGGCAGAGCCAGCAGCCCCAATGGCTGATTTGGTAGTTTCAAGCAAGGATCTAATTATATGTGTTAGGAGGGGATTCACTGGGAAAGGAATTTCCTAATTTAAATTCAAATAAGAGAGGGAATTAATTAAAGCAGGAAGGTTGAATTAGGAGGAAAATATATTATGAAAGGTGGCTAAGGAGGTGGGAATTAGGAGGGAAATTTATTAGGAAAGACGGCTAAGAAGGTGGAGGAGCTTATTTAAGCGGAAGTTTAGGGTTATTTTGTTTTATGCAGAATTTGGGTTGTGTTGTATTTTTCTTTTGTGAGGGCTTCCTAGCGCAGTCTAAGGTTAGCAGGAGAGACGATCTACCTCTCAAATTATAGATTGATTGTGATTGAGACATCAGAAATATGGAAAGTATATCAGAGGCGTGGTCGTCGATCTACGGCCACGATCGAGTCGATATATTTTTGAGTCATTTCATGTATTTGTTTTCTTTTATTATTATGTTATTTGTCTTTTATTATGTTGTCGTTATTTTCCGTTTGTACCCCTTACTTAAGGGAGTTCGTATGTAAGCCCTGCGGGCATTATCGTTTTTCTTATTTTGAGTCATTTGTACGAGACTATTTATATCCCCTATGTTTCTCTTTGAAAGTTTAATGAATGAATGATGAATTTTCTTCCCTTTTGATTTATTTGTGAGATCGTAAGGGTGTTTGAGAGAAATTCCTATGAGAGGGAGATCGGATCACCCACCAACCTTGGAGACGGCCGGGTTCGTGGTCCCTTACCTTTTTCTCCCATTAGCCCCCTTCTTCCATCTCCTAGCCGCCAACCAAGGTTTTCCCAACTCTTTGCCGCCGGTCACTCAACTTCCCACCACCACCACCGCATAAACCCCCTCCCACTACCCAAACCACCGGCCAACTTCATCCCAATCACCACCCCCACCGAGATCCCCACTCAAGCCCATCAAACCGTCGGCCCCATCCTCCTCCTCCTCGCTCCAAAATTCAAAACACCCCTTGAATACTTTCCATGAATAATTATTCTTAATTTGGGAAGATTTGATTTCAAAATTCAAAGCACTTTGAATTTGAAAATTTCTTTCCTAATTTAGGACATCTAAAAGTTCCTAAATTAAACCTCAGAATTTCAAATTCAAATTGGGTTTAATTAAAGTCTTTCCTAATTCCTAAATTCAAATTAAGAAACCTTAAGTCCCTCCCATCAAGCCCCCTCAAGCTCCTATAGATGCCGGCCCCCATAGGTTGGATTTAGGAAAGTATTTCCTAAATCCCAATTCCCCTCTTTGGAAATAATTTAACTCTTTCCCCCTCCATCCCCTTTGTCCAGCCTCTCCCTTAGCCCCACCTCCTTAATTTATTTCCAATGGAGAACCTCTCCAATTGGAAGCAAATTACTCCCCTCCCATCCCTCATGACCGCCACCCCCTCTCTCTTCTCTCCCTTCCTTTAATTATTCTCAATCAAGAGGATCTTGATAATTAGGAGGTGTTTGAATTGTAATTCCCTCCACTTAAACCTCCCAAAATCTGAACCTAATTTCCCAACCCTCTCCCATCCTTGACCAGCCACTTCTTCCTCCTGTCCCCTTGGGAGTTTTCAAGATAAGCTCTTCTCTTTCAATAGGAGCCCTCAAGGGAAGTACCAACTCGCGTACTCAACACTTCAACGCTCGGGGAGAAACTTCTTTCTCTCTAGTTGAACCTTCAAGGGAAGAGACAACGAACTTCTTCAACAATTCAACTACTTAATTCTGGACGTTGACAAAGGTGAACTTCTTCCCCTTTTCAATTAACTTCCTAATCCCCTAAACTTGTAGGTGGTGATAAATTACAAGGAGCCATGTTTTGCCTTACACCTAAGCTTAGTAAACGTAGGATTGAGCGTGTCTTATATGCTTCTAATCTTATTGTTAGATTAGAGATTTATTGAAAGCTATTTACTTTGCATGTTATTGAATTTCTAACTTGTTTTGATTTTTCAAGTGCTTGGCAAGTGGCTTAGCCAAAATGTAGGCACCCCTCTCTTGTTTTCTATTATCGTTTTGATTGCTAACAGTTTTAATCTCACTTGCTTAATTCAAAAAATCGTGCAATTCTTAACGCATCCATTTAACGCATGTTAGTTCTGCATCAGATTGTATCTTTTATTTTTTGTCGTGTTACTAAAAAAAATCAATCACTATTCCCCATAAATATAATGTTTTTCACTTGTTTTCTATGGATTTCCTACTTTGGCTTGCTGTTTTTGTATCCAAGGAGCATCAAATTGGTATCAAAGCGGTGTCCTGGGTTGAAATTTAAGTCCTCGTCGTTGATTTCTTGATGAGGACATCGAAGATCAACGGCTACGATCGTGTCTATTTATTTTGATGTATTTGATTTGTTATTTATACTTTTCCCTTTCTACCCTCACTTGAGGGCTTTGTCTTATGTTTGCCCTAGGGGCAATTGTGTCTTTTATTTTCCTTCATGTATTTGGCTATTTAAGCCTTCCCCTTCCTCTTGGAAAGGGATGATGATTATTGAAAATGAAATTCTTCTCTTTGTGTTCTCTTTGTGAGTTCATATTTTTCTTGATCTCTTAGTGAGTTCAACTCTCCTAGATCTCTGTGTGAGTTCTAGGAAAAGCCCAAGGTGAGGGCAAAAGCAATACCCGTCAATCTTGGTGGATTCCAAGGTTCGCGGTTCTTTTATCTTTCTTTTTCTTTTAATTTTTCTTGCATCGAATTCCCTCCACTTTCATTCCGCCACCAAAATACCCCTTGATCCCCCCCCCCAAATTCCCCTCCACATTACACCCACACTGGCCTAGCTCCTAGCCACTCGCACCAAGCAAACCCGCTTGCTGCCGCCGGGCGGACCAACAAGCCCCCTTTTTTTCATTGTGATGGGTGATCTCATATCATGCTATCTACAAAAATTTAGTTGGCGAGAGGGAAATTGGAGTCATTTGAAATTCAAATTTTGAATTTAAAACTTTCCAATTTTGGAATTCTTTAATTTAGGAAGTTTTCATTCATGGACTTCAATTTAAATTTCAAACAAATTGGCAGGTGTATAACGCAATTGAATTTAGGAGAGACTCCTAAAATTTGAAATTCAAAATTTGAATTTCAATAACTTCCAATTTGTCCAAGCTATATTTGGTAGGTTAGCTCCACAAATTCTCCATCCTTCAAACCCCATGTCTCACTCATAATATCTTGATTTCATATTCCTTAGCAACATAACACACACTTCTCTAATTTGGCCCATTAACTTTAAGGAAGCAAGATTTAAAATTCAAAATTTCAAATATTTGAATTTGAATTCTCTCTTAATTGCTCCTCCCCTAATTTAGGAGAGGTTATCAATTAAGTTAAATCTGAAATTAGATTCAGATTTATCTCCTCAATCATCTTAATTGCTTGGGCCCACTTGCCCTCTCATTAAATCTTGCCAAAACTCAAATTTTCTAAATTGGAATTCACGTGATTCCTTCTTTCTCCTGCTGGCTGAACCTTCCAACTCCTGTACATTAAATTCCCCCCACAAATCTCTCCCCAAATTCACTCTCCCGTGGACTTTTCTGCCTTCTAAGGTTGCAGCCAGAAAATTCCAGCAAATGTCACTGTTTTCTCAGCAACTTGGAGCTTCAAAGTTGCTATTTTACAAGGCCAACCTGCTGCCCAAGGGCTCCCAGCTTTCATACAATTATGGTCCAAGTTTCTGGTCATCTCTATGATTTTTGTCCTGAACTTTTTCAGCAAGGAGTTTTGCTGTCCAGCCCTCCAGAACAATACCGTTCACTGTCCAGACTTTTCTGGACATTATTGGATTGCTGTCCAGGATTTTCCAAGTACCAAAGCTGCTGTCCAGCGATCATGGCAACCTCCTATTGTTGTCCCGCTGCCTCTAAAGTCCAGATTGATGTCCCGCTGCATCTCGAAGGCTCGTGGTAGCTGTCTACCTCCTCCCAAGACCCAAGCACCCACCGGAGTTGTCTTTCCTATTTCTTAGGGGTAACTCATCCTCCCAACTCTTTATCTTCTTAGTTGCTTCTCACTTATGGTTTTAATAGATTCATAAGAAGCTTGTTAATTACTCTCCGCTAAAGCCTTAGAATTAGAGAGTTGATTGAGCAGACTCTAACATAGTGACTAGTCTTGTTGTTAAGAAAGGGGTTTTTGTTGGAACCAATCATGTTTGCAACGTCATGGTAATTGACTAGTTTACAATCTTAACTTCCACGCATGTGATTTAGCCTGAGCTTGTTTTATCGCCTTATTATTTTATCTTAGCGTTCAAATCGGCATAAGTTTTATTTAACATTGTTCTTGAAATATTAAGCGTGCAAAATTCTTTAAGCAAATCACTTTCGCA